CAGGAGACAGTTGGTCGTTGCTGGAGGGGACGGGGTGCACGGTCCTTGTGGCCGTGCTAGGCTCAAAGAGTGGTTCCATGCACTCAGTGTGGAGCGGACTACGGTCCAGCCACCGCCTTGTGTGCGCTTGGTTCCCCAAATACAGCGTGCTTGTGTTTGCCTGTGAAGGAGTGTGGGCCGGCTCCGTTGATGAAACGTGGCCCCCAACCAAATGCCTCCCGGTCTTATTTCTTCTGGTTTACACTGGATATGGGGTATGCGGTTGGAGCTGTAGGTGGTGCAGCGTTAGCCACCCATGGTCCCTCTGTAGGCGCAGGCGTCCTACGTTTGCACACAGTGACAGGCCAATCCGAAACCGGCTGCCGCCAACCATATATATATATATATATATATATATATGTATATATATATATATATATATATATATATATATATATATTTCTAATCATCAAATAGAGCTAACATGGTGCCATCGCAAACTACGAAAATCTTAATCGCGTACCAATAAATATAAAAGTAAACAATGCATCCTTTGTTTGTTTCTCACACGTCTTCTCTATATTCTGTTATCAAGTAATTGTGTTTGAGGTGTTCCACACATGTAACACAACAGTTCTTCACACATTTCCTCCAGTAAATTCAGTTGTATAAGATGTCTCCGAGCATTTCAAGTAACTGGCCCCCCTCATTCGTAGTTCCCATGCAATGAAACCATACGGATCAAACAACTGAAAGGCGTGAGGTCAGCGTTTTCACATGTGCTGTCGCCAAAAGGACAGATAAATGCGTCTGCCAGTATTTCAAATAGGATCGACTGGTGAGCAGTGTTTGATAGCGCGTTATCGTCACCCGTCGAACGAGGGTCATATCACTTAATGCAAATGGTGTAGTGGGGTGTCAATTAGTTATTTTAAAATACATAAGTTGGGTGCAGAAAAGTTGGGAATTGGAAGACCGCTTCACGACTGAAAAGTTAGGCGGGAAACTAATTACGTCTAAATTCAAACTACCTGCACTGTGCGTCCAGTTGATGGTATGGCTAAGTTTCAGGGGTTGACGGTAACTGTTTGAAGTTATACACTGCGATTTCTAGAAACAACGATTTTGAGATGCTAGACAACGAATGTATAATCGTCTTGCTTGGATTCAGGACCAGTCTAAGAAAAATGTTCCTCCTTCTTAGGTACGGTTGCATGTAGAATAAGTGACCTAGAGCGACAAGATATATGGAATATTTTTGGGTGTTCAAGAAATGCAGGAAGTTTTATCTGTGAAATAACACTGAAACAGTTTAAACATTCAAATCGATGATGAGAAAATGTTTGAAGAAGGACTGGATGATAGGCGATACCGGGGAACATGGATTGGAAGCATGTTACAATAGGTGAAAAAGCGCTATCTAGGTATTTTAGGTTGAGCTGTTTCAAATGCCTTCACATTATACTCTTTAACACCGCCTCCTATGCCCCTTGGCCCTGTTCAAAGTTACTTCCTACTGATTACCTTTTGCTCTGAGGTCAAAAGTAGCAATGGTTGATTGGCATAGGGACAAGAACCATCTGCGTAATCCCTTATTGAACTGACCAATGTGGGGTATTAGTTTTTCTATTCTCTTCGTTGCTTGTAGCAACCCAACCACCAGCGGATTCTCCAAGCCCAACTTTTTCCCTTCGTTTCCTTCGTTCCGAAATGCTAGCCGTTTCTTCTTTTCTGTAAGCCGTAGCTCAAGAACAGGTACCGAATTTCAGTGACTGGAGATATCGGATCCTAAACATTTTAAGTGCTTGCATCTAATACTGACGGGAAATTCTTTTTCTTACCATTTTGCCAATGGATGAGTCGAGCTGTTATATGTCCTCGGCTGTCCTGATGTACAATTTGGTCGTATGATCAGTCGATGCCTCTTGCGCTGATGTGAAAAATGCTAGTTGTATTTTTACCATCCCCGAGCTTATTCCTATTATACTTGATTTTTCCTTTTCTATATTTTTCCTTATTTCTTTATTAGCCACGGTTGGGTGAGGAAAATGTGGTTGCATATGCTTCTAGAAAGTTATCCTCTACTGAAGTTTCATATTCCGCAGGTGAAAGGGAGGCCCTGGCCTGTGTATGGGCCTGTGAAAAATGGCACCTGTTTCCGTTTGGTCGGAGATTTACATTGCGCACGGATCATGCTGTTATAACTACCCTCCTCAGCCGAGGAACCAATGGTCACAGGCCACTACGGATTAACCGCTGGTATGCGCGGTTACTGAACTATGATTTTCAAATCATCTTCCGCCTTAGCTCCGAGAACCGTATGGCAGATAGCTTATCACGTCTCCCATTGGATGATTCCGACAAGAATGAAGACGACGAAGAAAAAGTCATGATTTCTGCTTTGCAATCAAGTGAGTTCTCCGCGGTTACTAAACAAGAGCTTCAAGAAGCTAACCGGAGTGATTCATATGTGCAAGATGTCATTCACTAGCTCTCTCAAGGCTGGCCTCGTTACGCGAAGTTGAGTGGTGAACTACGGGCGTTTTATGTTTTACGACATGAGCTAGCGGTCGTTGATGATTGCCTTATGCGAGGATCGCGATTCGTAGCTCCACAGAAACTGACATCAAAAATTATCCAATGAGCACACAATGGACATCCGGGTATCGTACGGACGAAGCGCCGACTTCAAGAATACTTTTGGTGGCCAAAAATGAATAAAATGACAGAGGCGTGTGTCCGGTCTTGCGATGCATGTCAGAAGGCCGACAAGAGCTCCAAACCAATCGATGCCCCCATCCAACCTGTTACTTATCCAATGAAACCTTGGTCGAAGGTGGCGATTGACATCATGGGACCGTTTCATTCTGCGCCACAGCACCAGAGGAACTGCTTAGTTGCAACGTGTTATTACAGTAAGTGGCCGGAAATCCATTTGTGTGGCGATGTGACCACTTCAACCGTTATACGGTGGCTGAAACATCTGTTTGCTAGATTTGGGTTTCCTGAGGAAATTGTGACAGACAACGGACCACAATTCACGAACTATGAGTTTAAACGTTTCTTACAGCTTCGTGATGTGAAGCACGTACATACTGTCCCGTACAAACCAGCTGCCAACGGCATGGTTGAGCGCACTAATCGCACGCTAAAGGAAACCATACAGACAGCACGTTTGTCCGGCAGGCAGTGGGAAGATGCCGTTTTGGAGGCTCTGTTTACTCACCGAACATCGCACCACAGAGCGACTGATCGCACGCCAGGTGAGCTGATGTTTGGCAGGAAGTTGCGTGCGAAATTAAACGCAGCTATTTCGGCTGCAGAAAACAACGACCCCCACCAACTGGAACGTCGCCGGGGTTATCAGTCATCCCACGAAAAGCCGGCCACATCGCTGAGTCCTGGAACGTTGGTCAGGCTAAAGGAGAGGCAAACACGTAAAGGAGAACCGGCACTGACGAGACCCATCAGAATTACTCGTGCGCTAGGGCCAGGAACTTATGAGTTAGCAGACGGCCGACGAGTCAACGCCAGACAGCTATATTCAGCATTTCAACCGAAGCAATGTCCTGAAACGGGGGCCACCGCAGTGAACCAACCGCTGAAGAGGGGGAGTAGTGTGGCAGCGCGTACGCGCGGGCCTTACCACGACCGCACTTCGTAGCTTGTGATTGGATGCCTGTCCGTTCGCGATCAATACCAGCGTTGTTTTGAATATACTGAGTGTATGTACCGTTGGCGTGAATAGAAGTTTGTGTTGCGTACCAGTAGAGTTCTGCTTCCTCGTTCGGGGCTTTGGTCGTGTTTGTTCAAGACCCTGCGTGCAGGGGACTAGTGTACGTGTAGATACAACATTGGGCTAAACTCCTGAGGTGACGAGTTTAAACATCCAAGTTAAGTTTCTGCGTAAGTAAGGCGAATTGCCGCTGCCTCAATGGCATATAATAAAAAAGTGCCATACTCGAAAGAGCCATATGACGAAACGCGCTATAGGTTTCATCGACGTTAAAAACACATAAAATCTGTTAATCTGGTGATACCTTACATTTTATTTTGCCACACAGCCAGATTGAGCATGGAAGCGCAGGCGAAATATTCGACGGAATATCCCGCATGAAAGTTTGTCCACTGAAGACCGTTCCAAGCATGGCCACATTAACTCAATTGAACTTCTGACTATATCTACATTTGCTTTTGTTCTAAATTTTCATAGTCATTTTAATGCCTGCAACTTCTCACTCAATCCAAAAAGCCGAACATTTACCTGCTTTGTGCGATCTGGCTGCAAAAACTGCTCAAACCATTAAGTTGGAATGTGCTTTGTATCGTCGAAGATTATACCGTTTATTTTTGTGAAATGTGTGATTTAGTGATTTGCACAGCCTTTGAATGGCATTCATCTTGTCGCCGAAATAGCGCAGCTGTTCCGCTCGAGCATAACTCTCCGTAGTGATATGGTTTCTGAGCTTCCGGAACATCATAGATTTAGGTAGTCTTGATGACGGCTTCGACTTAGACTTTCCGATGATTTGGCTTCATCCCTATCCGGATTTGCCTGTCACTGTGGCCTCCATAGGGACAGCCACAGGACGCCTACGCCTAAAAAGGGCCCATGGGTAGCTTGAGCTGCACCACACAGTTCCACCCACACACTCATATCCTGTGTAAACTGGAAGGAATAAGACCGGGTGGCATGTAAATAGGAGCCACGTTTCATCAACAGAGCCGGCCCACACTCCTTCAATAAGCAGACCAGAAGCATTCCGGCCTAATTGGGAAATCATGCACACCAGACAAACACATGGCGGTGGTTGGACCGTAGCCCGTTCCACAAAGGATGGAACCCCTCTTTGAGCCTCGCACCATCACGACGACCGTGCACTCCGTCCCCTCCAGAGACGACCAACTGTCTCCTGGAGCCAGTATGGACGAGGTAGTGGGTAATAGACAGGTAGGCACCTTGTCAACATGCACATCAAGCGCATCCACACCAGGGAGCCCAAATAACATCTACTTCTGTAATGCAAGATTACTCAGCACGCAACCAACGTACCACATACGCCGCATTATTGGCCTGGATTAGTAAAACGAATGGGAGCGTACGCGTCGTGCTTCTATTCCGCGTACAATAGTACCTTCTCCTGCACCTGAGCAACTGCCCTTATGATCAGTCTATGGAGTTCGCATCGATCAAATTTGCCTTGGATTCGCAACACCTGAAATCAACATGAGTTTGTCATAAACTCACCTTCTTCATGTTCTGCTAATGTTATTTTCGGTTTGCTCGAGTGCCGTTTCCCTGCATTAAGTTAGCAGCACAAATGCGGTATGGGTATCCTTGTCGAATTACTTCGGTCTACATATATACATAGATTGGCGTCATCCGTATCCAATGGCAGTTCGAATACAACATATGCACATGCGTTTATTCGAAGGTAACTGTGAGCTGTCACAAACTGGATAGAGACACATTCGACATCATGATCAATGGTACGAGAACCGTGTATGGGTTTGGTTTGGAGGTCAGCCTAACAACCACTTTCGAAGGCATGACCAAACGTTCCCGAATACGAAATGTTGATGTTTTCTCTAACATTTAGAAGTGACCGCCTTAAATCTTGGGCATCCATATTTGAAGGAACGCGATGTAGTATTAGTAAAGCAACTGCTAGGTAGAATGATAACTAAAATACGGATACAGGGAAATAGTGTGCACTTAGGTGTTGTCCTCTATATGTACAGTCTGATTTGAGTGGCTGATGGGGAAGATGATCCCACAGCATTCGAATGCGATGCAGTGTCCGTTTTCTGGCTCTCTGTGTCTCCGACCGGTTCGGTCATCTGCTGTCCGAGGTACGTGCACATATTCAAAGAACGAATAATGCGCACCCTTTGGTATTGACACGTGACATCAAGTAAGTCCCGCTGCCCACTGTCAAACATGCGACTTTCCAAACTGTGTTCACAATTTTGGTGTAAATGTCAAACTACTCAAGCGTTTGTACCTACTGACGTGTACTCTATTGTGGTCAAAAGCTATTCGCTATTGATCTATATCGTACGCCTCGGGTGCAATCATTCGATGCTCATAAAATGATTGTCACTATGCGTCGATCCCTTTCCGATGTAATATTTTAACACACTGACGTGCCATTCCCGTTAGGTTCAACCTTTCACTTAGTCCATCCAAATGCTGGACCGTGTGCAACGTACCTTTGGTAGGCATCTCTGCGCGTCTGCCTTCCATCGGTTTAGTACGTTTCTTTTCTTAGGTCCCGGTAAATTTAG